TCCTTCCAATGAACACCCAGGACTGATCTCCTTTAGGATGGACTGGTTGGATCTCCTTGCAGTCCAAGGGACTCTCAAGAGTCTTCTCCAACACCACAGTTCAAAAGCATCAATTTTTTGGCACTCAGCTTTCTTCACAGTCCAACTCTCACATCCATACATGACCACTGGAAAAACCATAGCCTTGACTAGACGGACCTTTGTTGGCAAAGTAGTGTCTCTGCTTTTTAATATGCTATCTAGGTTGGTAGGTTGGCCTCATTCTCAACAAAAGTTATTATCACAGCATTTAGTTTCAGTTTTCTTCTTGAATCTCTAGTGAATCAATGTTTTTATTATTGTTACAAATTATAGTATAATTATGTAATATAGTCAATTATAATATGGTTATAATGTAACTATATTATTATGACTGTAAATATTGTTTGCTCAGCTATGGACTGTGCTATATGTATTAGTCAATTTTTTGCTATAGCAAAAAAAGAAAAATTTCAGTAGCTAACAACATTTATTTATTGTTCATGTTTCAAAAGACTTGGAACCTGTTGAGACTCTGCTGGGTTCTACTAGCCTTGTCAGTGCTCAGTTCATCTTGATTTCACCTTTTCTCATTTGAGATCTAATCCCAATGGATAGACCCTAGGTGGGGCAGACAAAACCAGATCCCACAAATACATTTAAAGTTTTCCTTTACTCTAATGTGTGTCATATCTCCCTGTTTTCCTTTGTCTAAAACAAGTCACAAGGCCAAGACCCAGGTCAATATAATAGGAAGTCTGCTCTGATTACAGGGACGCAAGGCAAGGGTAAAAAGTGAATGAATAAATTATGTAATCATGAATAATGCAATCTACATTCCATGGTACAACATTTTGTTTTTCTTAAAGTTAATAGTAGCCTCTCTATTTGCTTTTATACTTTTCTTGGTCTTCTATATTCCTATTAACTCTTCCCTCAATTTGCCCAAGAGGTCTTCTCATGCAGTCAATCCCATGTTTTTCCTTTTTTTTTTTCTTTAGGAGTATCCCTCTGGAACCTTCCTGCCTTAGTTCCTCCTTCTTCATCTCTAGTCTGGACTGGATGCTCTCTCAGCCTCTCACACAGATGTCATTCTAGCATTATGTTTTACCATTGTCCTCGGGATTCTCTTCCCCTTTCTTCTGGATTTTTCTGTTTTCTGGATCCTAGGTCTTCACCTTTTATTGTTTACTTCTGTTTTGTTGGAGTGTCTCCTCCTCTAGCTTCCTCTTTTATTTATTTCCTGGTTTTGAAGGAACATTTCCTTCAGTAGCTTCCTGGGAAAGGTAAATGTTTTGAGACCTTCCTTGTTGAAAATGTTTCTGTCAGAGCTCTTGACATATCCCACGTGCTCAGTAAAGATTTGATTAATTGTGAATTAATGAATGATAGAATGAATGAATAAGCAGAAGCAGTATAGTATAATGGTGATGAGCTGGACTGCCTGGGTTCAAGGGCTAGTACTGTCACTTCCTAGCTATATGACCTTTGTCAAGTTTATTCTGTCTCAGTTTCCTAATGTGTAAAATGAGAATAGTACCTGTGTCAGAAATATTGTGAGTATTAAATGAGTTAATGTATATAAAGGACTTAAATATTACCTGAAACACATACACCAAGACATCAATAAATGTCTTGATTATCCTTAGTGAATAATATGAATAAAGGATGATGATATAATGAAGAAATCACTTAATTCTTTTTTCTAAGACTTAAATTTTTTTTTAAGAGCAGAGCAGTTTTAGGTTTTATAATAAACTTGAGAGGAAGGTAGACATGGTACATTTTTTTTAAAACCCAGGATGTACATTGATACATCATAATCACGCAAAGTCCATAATTTACTTTAGGGCTCACTCTTGGTGCTGTACATCCTATGTATCTGGATAGATGTATAATGACATATTCTTCATTACAGTATCATATAGAGTATTTTCATGACCCTAAAAATCCTATGTGCTTGCCTATTTGTACCTCCTGCTCCCCCGGCAACAACTGATCTTTTTCTTGTCTCCATAGTTTTGCCTTTCCCAAAATGCCATATAGTTGGAATCATATGATATGTAGTCTCTTCAGATTGGCTTCTTTCACTTAGTAATATACAGTTGAGTTTCCTCCATATCTTTTGATGGTTTGATAGCTCATTTTCTTTTTTGTTGTTATTCAGTTGCTCAGTCATGTCAGACTCTTTGTGACCCCATGGACTGCAGCACTCCAGGCCCCCCTGTCCTTCACTATCCCCTGAGTTTGCTCAAACTCATGTCCATTGAGTCAGTGAGGCCATCCAACCATCTCATCCTGTGTTGCCCCCTTCTACTGCCCTCAATCTTCCCCAGCATCGGGGTCTTTTCCAGTGAGTCGGCTCTTAGCATCAGGTAGCCTGAGTATTGTAGCTTCAGCATCAGTCCTTCCAGTGAATATTCAGGGTTGGTTTCCTTTAGGATGGACTGGTTGGATCTTCTTGCAGTCCAAGGGACTCTCAAGAGTCTTCTCCAGCCCCACAGTTTGAAAGCATCAGTTCTTTGGTGCTCAGCCTTCTCTATGGTCCAACTCTCACATCCGTACATGACTACTGCAGAAACCATAGCTTTGCCTATATGGACCTTTGTCAGCAAAGTGAAGTCTCTGCTTTTTAATACACTGTCTAGGTTTGTCATAGCTTTTCTTCCAAGAAGAATATCATGGTTGCAGTCTCTGTCTGCAGAGATTTTGGAACCCAAGAAAATGAAGTTTGTCACTGTTTCCATCTTTCCCCGTCTGTTTGCCATGAGGTGATGGGACCAGATGCCCTGATCTTCATTTTTTGAATGTTGAGTTTTAAGCCAGTTTTTTTCACTCTCCTCTTTCACCTTCATTAAGAGGCTCTTTAGTTCTTCACTTTCTGCCATTAGAGTGGTGTCATCTGCATATCTGAGGTTATTGGTATGCCTCCTGGCAATCTTGATTCCAGCTTGAGCTTCTCCCAGCCTAGCATTTCGCATGATATACTCTGCATATAAGTTAAATAAACAGCAGGACAATGTATAACTTTGATGAACTCCTTTCCCAATTTTGAACCTGTTCATTGTTCCATCTCCGGTTCTAACTGTTGCTTCTTGACCCGCATACAGGTTTCTCAGGAGGTTGGTAGGTAAGTTAAGGTAGGTAATTCTCTTTAAGAATTTCCCACAGTATGTTGTGATCCACACAGTCAAAGGATTTAGCGTAGTGAATGAAGTAGAAGGAGAAGTTTTCTGGAATTCCCTTGCTTTTTCTGTGATCCAGTGGATGTTGAAAATTTG